GTGTGTGTAGGAGTATTGCAGGGGTGTGTGTGTGTAGAGGTGAGTGTGTGTAGGTGTTGGGGTGTGTGTGTAGCTATAGGTGTGTGTGTGTGTAGGGATGTGTATATATATATATATATATATATATATATATATATATATATATCCCACAGCATGCATGTGAAGGTCAGAAGATAACTTCCAGAATGGTATTGAACTCAAGTCCTTAGGTTTGCTGGCAAGAACTTTTACTCACTGTGTCATTATGCTAGCTCCCATAAAAGGAACATCTTTTTATCCAAAGCTAGCCCAAGGTACACAGAAAGCTCCTGTCTCAAAGTTGAGGAGACAACAAAGATTTATTTTTATTTATTCTTCTGGGAAATGTCAGTTATTAAACACATTCCTATTACCTGCCTTAAGACAGTGGAAGGTGAAATATGGGTAGATAGTAGAATATAGTCAACTGGAACTTAGTAGAGGTACCTAGGCTGAAAAAGTCACTTCATTAAAAAAGACACAGGACCACAGGGAGTGAAGTATAAGGTGGTTATATACAGAGAAATTTCCCAAGACCTGGGGCCCCTCAGGTGCCTTCATGTCCACTGTGAAGGATGAGGAGATACTGAACACCACACAGCTAGAGACAAAGTGAAGGTAATGTCCTGGGAGCCAAGAGATAAGTGTCTCTAGTTTTTCCTTTTGCCCCGTAGAGTCTCGGACTTTGAGTCAGTCTGCTGGTTCTGTGGGATCCCAAGAACTCTATAAGAATTTTTATTTCTTCCAAGAAAACTCTGAACTAGAATGAGATGAACTCCCTTTAGAGTCCTGTTGCCTCTGACATGGTCAGAACTGCAGTAGCTTCAAGGTTATACATGAGACCTCATTTCTTAGGGCAACTCCACTTGGTGCCTCCAGTTACTATGCAGGTGTAACAGGCCATGGCCTCACTGTCCCCTGGCTAGCAAAGGCTCAGGGAGGTCAGAAATCAACAAAGACCGCTATAGGGTGATCTGGCTTAGTGGTAAAGTATACATTTAGTACACACAAGGTTTGACTCCTAGCACTACAAAAACACAAACAAAAAGTGTCCTGCAGGTTATTGGATGAACATACAAGGAAGGTGATTTGGTCTAGCTACTGTTTTCTCCTCTGAAAAACCAACAAAGCCTTGGGGCACATGCCAAGAAACAGGGAGACACAATTCTGGCTGATAAAACTCTTTCAAAGCCATTTCTCACAGTACATATTAAAATACCCCATAGCATAGTCTTTGAAAATACGGCAACACCTAGAATTTCATAATTATTATGACTCCTTTTATTTCAAAACCTCAATATATGAGCCCCTAAAGTGAGGTACATATATGGGATGTTTCCCACATTAAGAGTATTGTGTCTTTCTATTGCCACACATTATAACTGTCACACTGCTTTCAAGCCCCCTAATATACAAGGACACAAACAGGGAAGGGAAGAAGGAAGAGAGACTTCAGGTTGTTTATTCATTTGTACTTTTATTTTTTTATAGTGATCTTTACCAATTCCTAACAAAAATAAATAAAAACTGACAATAACTTGTAAATTGCAGTCTCCTTCGCTATCTTAAGGTACACAACTATCAAAGCTGATATTACCTGCAAACAAATTGATACAATTCAGTACTCTGATAACATTCATAGTCAAACAGGTTTTAAGGTGAGCACAATGCAACTTTATGTTCCATTAGAATCTTTTATAGAAAATTTATACCAGAGTGGCTCTTTAAACTTACAAAGTGCAATTATAGAGTGCAAAAAAGAAAAAAGAAAAACACACCATACTACATTCAACAATATCAGGTTGGAATAGCAGAGACCTCTTAGATTTACATATTTTTCAGTTAAAGCATTAAAATTTACCCCAGAAATGCTCCCCTTCCCCCCATAACATTAGGAAAATTAGAAAATATTGGGCAGCAAATAAACCTTTTTTTAAAATTTCACAAAATGGAATTTGAAGCAGAAATGACAAATTTCGTGGGATAAAAAGATTTAAAGGCAACTTTACTGTTTACTGACTAAATGAAACAAAAATTAGATACTCGGTCTTGTCATATATTTGCTGGGTAAATGCTTGATATATTTCAGCAGTTAAATTTATGTAGCTATCTTCTCAAGGACTCAAAACTAAAATATTTGGCTTTTTCCCATAGTTTGACTCTTGACAGAGAGGGGAGAGTTGAAAATATATAAGAAAGCAATAGAGTTGCAGTGTGAAGGCTTTATGTAGCAGAAGTCTCAATTTCAAGGCTAAACTTCAGTGTTGAGTACAGAGCATAATGTCTTTGCTTACAGAGTGCATCTCCTGGGTTATTAGGTAGTCTTGTGGGAGACTGTAAGTTATTCAATTTTGTGTCTGGAATTGCTTTGGTTCTCAATACAGGATATATATAGCCTTGTTGATGTCCCTGTGTGAATGTGTGTGTGTGTGTGTGTGTGTGTGTGTGTGTGTGTGTGTGTGTGTGTACAAGGAGAAATATGTATGACACATGAATTGATTGTAATCCTTTCATGCCTTCTTAGCATAATCTTCACTAAAACAATGAGTTTTTAAAACTTATGTTCATCCACAACCTGTAATCTCCAATCATACTTTTTCATTATTAATATGTTTTTTTGGGACTACAGGTGTAGCCCAATGGTAGTGTTTTCCCAACATGTGTAAGACTCTGAGCTTTATTCCCAGCTTTGAGATCAAAACAAAACAATATATATATATATATATATATATATATATATATATATATATATATATATATATATATAACTCTTTCCTGAGATCCTTTCAAAAGCATTTAAAAATATGTAAAGCTACCCCAAACTTCTTGCATCAAGTTATGTGGTATGACTGGAAATGCTCAAAGTGGAACAATATACACATATCTAAAAGACTCATTTGGCTCCTGTAAATTAACTGGCCGTATTGTAGCTCAGTTCTTGATAAGCTTAAAACTGTTATCTGGAGAAGCCATGGTCACTTAATATAGGCCAGCGTTCTCTACATCCAGTTGGTATCAATGAGATTTAAAATGTGTTCTTAACACAGAACACTAGACTTTAGCTAAATAAAATGACAAAGAAATACACTTTTAAATCTCACTGGCTCTCATATCCCCTCGTCTTTTTAAAAGTAAGTATGTTGGTTAACACAGAAACAAATAGCTGGAATTCTGCAAAGTATGGAGCTTGTGTATGCACAAACTTGTTGTGTACAGGAATGCGCATGCGTATTGCTTACTTTATCTCTTCTTTCCCTCATCTTGAGGCCAGGACTTGGGATGAGAGCTGTGTAATCCTTCCAGGGTTTTCTATGGAGGGCTCCATAGGGCATCAATGTTTCCTTCCCTTGTACTCTAGAGGTCAGAGGCAACTCATGATGTCTTTGTTGCCCTAGCAACATGCCAGGAAAAAGGTGGAGGAAGAATAGACCCTCCCTGACCCGGTATGTGCTCCAGAGAGATTCCACCTAAGACTGAGCATTCATTCAGCTAGGCATCCTCCCAGGAAAGGCAAAGGTGTGCCAGCAGGGACTCCTGAGGCAACTCCACAGAATAATCTAGTGACTCACTAAGACCTACAGGCTGAGAGCAGAGACCAACCCTTTCCACAAAGGCAAACAAGAGACAGGGAAAGAGTCTAGATTTCATCTTAGCTTCCATGGGAATGCATAGTTAAGTCTAAAATTTTAAAAGCTTTCAGATGTGTTTCTCCTTTAGAAAAATACATTGTGATTTATTTTTCCTGTATTTCCCTCACTTCCTGTATTCAGATATATGTTTTTTAAATGTAACTTTAAAATGTGGAATAAGATATTGACTGAACTATTTGTTAGCAAAAACTCTTTTGAAACTGGGCATGGTAATGTGGGCCTATCATCCCAGAATCTGGAGGCTAAGGCAGGAGAATTACCATGCGCTTGGAGCCAATCTGGACTAAAGAGTGAGATTCTGGGTTAAAAAAGAAAAACAACAACAATAACAAAACAAAAAGAAAAAACAAACAAACAAAACCTCTTGAATATAAAATAAAAAAGTACATTTCCATATTAAGTAAGATCTGACTAGCATCCTGTTGTATTTTAAAATTATGATTAATTTGACTTTGGATTCTGATTTAATCCTGTAATTCTTCTGTAAATTCCCTATAAAAATAATCTAAAATGGAGATCAAATTTCCTTCAAATGTGGGTTTTCTGATTGATATTCAACAATGACTTCACATAATGACGTCCTCGACATCAATGGATGCGATAGTCCAGGTGGATGAGTACAGGGCCTTTTCCTTTATCCCCTCTAGGCACACCTGTGCCATATAGCAGAGACGGCGAAAAGACCTCCTCTCCAGGATGAGGTGGCTCAAGTGTGCAGTGGTGCCAACCGCTGTGCCAAGCCATAATATAGTCAAGTCAATTATCACAGATCTGAGAAGTAGAAAACAAATTACTTATGTGATTGATTTGACTATATTATTTAGGCTTACAGGAATGTCACTTGCAACAGACTGGGCATTGCTCACTTCTAAGCACTGCACCAGCTGAATGGGCTTTGACGCTTTTCTTTTTTTTTTTTTTTTTTTTTTTTTTTGGTTTTTCGAGACAGGGTTTCTCTGTGTAGCTTTGCGCCTCTCCTGGAACTCACTTGGTAGCCCAGACTGGCCTCGAACTCACAGAGATCCGCCTGGCTCTGCCTCCCGAGTGCTGGGATTAAAGGCGTGCGCCACCACCGCCTGGCAGCTTTGACGCTTTTCAATAAAACATTTCACTCAGGAAAGTCTTACAAAAATATCAATTTTCTTTTGATATTAAATATTTTACATATAATATATTAGCAAATAGTCTGTCAAAAATAAAACTTTCCAAGTGTATTAAAAATATACAGTTATTGACCTGACACATGACCCGACATAAATATTATTAAGAAAATGAAATATTAACATTATCCAGGTATGCTAGGCATCCCTGTTCATAATTTGATGGTGATGTTCAGACTTGTGGCAGCGCTGGGTCTCCAGAGGTCACTCTCTCATATTCCTTCTTTGATTTCTTACTTTTTCGATATTTGTACCTAGAAGAAAGGAAACAGTGCTGTAATTAACAGATATAAAAAACAAACTCTGAAACAAATACATGGACTCCACAAGCACATTCAGAAAAGGGCATCCAGCCAGACAATGAGGGCACATGCCTTTAATCCCCTGCCCTCTGGAGGCAGAGGCTCCTGAGGTGAGTCTCTGAGTTCAAGACCATCCTGGTCTACAGAGTGAGATCCAGGGCAACTAGAGCTACACAGAGAAGCCCTGTCTCAAAAAAACAAAACAAAAAGGAGTGTTTTCCAAAATGGCCAGAGTGACTACGCTTAGGTCAGGCGATAGGAAAAATCGAGAGAGCAAGAGGGCAATGTCCTGCAGGCCATCAGATTTGGTAAGAAGTGGACACGGTTAAACAGTGAACACCATGAAAGTTTTTTTTCTAAGGTCTTTATACAAGCACAAAGCTGTGAAACGGCAGGAGGAATTCTCCAACATCTTTTTCCATCAGTTTCCCTCAGCAGTGTTCAGTTCTGTCACATCTGATTAGATGCCTTGAACCTGAAGGGGTCTCCTAGGGTCCAGTAGAGCATCTCCAGATTACATCTAAAGCTTAACACAAAGCAGATGCTATGTGATACCTGTTACATTGTGTTGTTTAGGTTCAGTACAGGCACTATGCTCAAATTCTAATTAGGAAGTCATTATCATCAGATGCCTATTTAGAACAAAATCCAGACAATGTTTTTCAGGAAAAAATTCAGTAAATAATTTGTACCAACTTCAAACTAAGAAGAATAAACTGGAAAGATATTTAAGGGCACTATTAACTATGCATACTCCTTAACAAGTCCAGTCCAATTAAAAAAAAAAAAAACCTTGACAATCTTTAGTTCCTTCTCAGGTATTGTTTTGTGATAATATAACTGTAGGGGGGAGAATCCTAATTATTAGAGAATGAAATTTTCAGTCTGTATTTTATAGGGAAATGGACATTCCTTGTTTTGACCTTTCCATGCACATAAGCAGGAAGTAAAGGTTAGTAATTAATGAAGCCCACGTGTAATGCAGCAAAGCATTTTTGTGACCAGCACAGTGAAGATTCCATCTTATTCCTCTCATGCTACGTTTAGATTTCAAGCAGTTTGTGGGTGTGTTATCAGGTAATTAAAAAAAAAATAGGCAATAAAACTAAGTGGCTTACCATCTGCAGAAATAGTATATGGACCCAGCGGTTATGATAAGGAACAAGAGAATGAGGATCACTGTCAACGCAACGTATTCTTTGCTCAAGGGTTGGTGAACGGTTAGGAAGAAGTGTTCACACCGGACACCAGTATAGCCCACTTCACATCTAAAAAAAATTGCAAAGACAATCAATTATTTTAAAATAAAGTCATGTTATGAGTTAGTGTTATAAGAACTAAGTCTTCATTGCAAAAAAAGAAACCAGCAAGATTTGTTTAAAGTTATCAAAATGAATTCAAAAATTGAACTCAAGAGTTGGGTCAATGCTAACAAAATGGCTCCCTACAGCTTCTAGGACTTAACTCCGGAGGCAAGTGGAAAGTCTGATGTGACTGCTAAGGTACTAGACATCTAGAATGGTTTAATTGTATAGATATAAGGGGTTTTTTTTGTTCTAATTAGTAGAATTGATTCATAAAGGTGGAGTTGCCATTGTAGTGAGAGGGGAGGCATCTGAAGTTCCCCTCATTATTATGCACCCCAAATTATCTGTGCAGATCGAAATATTATATTTGCTTTCTAATTTTCAAAGAAGTAATAAAGTTTTTAATAGTGTAGATGAAGCACATTTCAACAGCCCATAGACATACGGTAACTACATATAAAGGAAGGAAAGTGTAGGCTTCCGACTGTCGCATCTGCTCAATGGCGTCACGTTACCTGCAATAGTTCTCACTCATGTCCACCAGGTAGATGCACTGTCCATGAAAGCAGTAGCTGTCCATGTCAGGGCTGCACTTTGTGATGGACACCTGAGCCACATGGGGATTGTCTTCCATCTGAACTGTGAAGAGAATGGAAAGTTGAATGACTTGTGTGATGGGACTCCGAGTGCATAATTATCCTTTAATAATAGTAACCTCTACGCAGCTTCAGCAGACAGGTCAGAGGTCAGCAGTGGAGAATTTTTCAGGGTCCAGGAGTTGCTCTAATTACCACATTTCCCCAGCCAAAAACTCCCAAACACCCGAACATAAGCAGGCCCCCCAAACAATAAACAAACACCTGAACACACAACAGGCTAAACAAAATGACTTGAGGATTTAATTTTCAAAAGACAGACAGACAGAAAATTATCCAAAGAAAGCACACTGATTGGAGTACTTTTTCATGCCCAAGTAACTAAAAGAGAAAGAAAAAAAAAAGCAGTGGTGGAGAGAGGTTGACAAAATTCCTGAAAGCTTGATGGTGATGTACAAGAAAGAAGTGGATAACCTAGAACCCCCTCTGGCGTCTGTATCCAGCTCAGGCCAAAACATGGAGCGTTCCCTTGGACCATGTTCCCCTTGGGGGAACAATGACTGTTCACCATTCAGCTTTGTATTTCTGCCTTAACATGATGCTGATTCATACCGAGCACTCCATAAACGTCTCCTGAATACTATGACTGAAATGGAATAAGAACATTCGCTCCTCTGACATGCTACATCTATCCAGGGAAATGTGCTGTGTATGAAGTTCACAGTTTCCTGTTCTTCAAGGGAATTGTCCCTTCAAATGTTCTCTGATAATGGCTTTATACTGAATATGATTTTCCTTATTGTACGTCTTTCTAAAACTCAATTGTTTTTGTCTATAACTACATGTCCTATCTTTCTCCCCGTGTTACTTCTTCATGAAGTTTCTCCAGATCTCTAGTTAATTATAAAGTTAAACATCGATACAGCAAGAGTCCCTTCCTTTTGCTTCATTAGCATGTATTTATATTTACATTTCATTTACAAATGCATCAAATGCTGATGCTATTTTCATGACATCAGGCTTACCTAAAGCTGTGCAGTTGTCCTCGGATTCCCCTGGGATACATGATGGAATCACAGTTGTGCTGATAACTCCTTGTAGAAGGTGGAAACCTAGTTATGGAAGATAGAATACATAATTAATGATTCAAGAAAAACAGCTTTCACTAAATTTCTACATGTCTTCCATATATATTGAGAGGTTTTGTTTTAAGAAGTCAGTTCATCAAAGTGATAACAGTAAATAATTTATGAAAACATTCGTATAATTGAAAATAAGTGATCCCTTCTGAAAATAGATCTTAATTTACAAAATATAATCTAGATAAAATGAGAATACTGTTGCCCTTTATTGTTCATGGGGATTAGCTCTAGCATTCCCACAGACACCTAAATTTTCAGATGTTCAAGTCCCTTTCATAAACTGGTATAGGATTTATATATAACCTGAGTGTGCCTCCTGGTGCACCTTAAATTATCTCCAGATCACATCTAAAACCCAATACAATGCAGATGCTATGTGATTCCTGTTACATTGTGTTGATTAGGTTCAGTATAGACACTATTTTCAAATATTTTGAACCCATGGATACAGGCGGGCCATCTGTATGTCTTATCTAACACAAGAAGAAACTGCTAAACCATGCCAAGCTGTGCATGCCCTACCATCCAGTCTCTCTCAGCACAGTGAAATTGAAACAACTGTCTCATTGAGTAAAAAGATAAATGTTGGAAATTAGGTGTCAGAATGACTCAAGCCATTTCTGAATTGTATAGGAAACATGATAAGAAGAGCCCTCTAATTATATACCAGTTTATGCAAGAGCACTTTTCCTCTCCTGTTTAATCTTTGGGTATTTGCACTCCAACTCTCTTTCTGGCCTGTAGGGATTACTATTACGCAGTCAATGCCTATACTGGTGGTAGTAGTAACAGCAGCAATTGACAAGCCTCAAACACGAACTGTGTAGAGGGAGTGTTCCATTCATTTTATCCATGCTATCTCACTTTATGCTCTCAGTGATGCTAAGGAAGATGTTATTACTTCTATCAGACATAATAGAAAAACAAACAAACTACTGAGCATAAAGAGCTTAAATAACTTCTCCCAATAACACATATTAAATGGCCCACATGATAGAATTTGGGAATGGGTAATAACATTGACTCTGATGAACTTCACATGGAACACTCTAGACTAACTAAAAAACAGTATTTTTTGCATCATAGATAGTCAAAAGAATGGTAAAATGATAATGGTGTGAGAAAACTTGATCTGTACTACTTGGACACAAAAATCACTTCCCCAACTCTCAATTTTTCTTGCAAAGTTTTAGGGAGACTGAAATGGAATATTTTTTCCCCAGAAATACCTGGCATATCAGAGAGTCCCATAAATATTCCCAGCAGTCAACTTCTAGCTTCTAATTTGAATAAACTATCCAAGCAGTGCCCTCTACTGGTTTACAGTAAGATTATGTGCAAATTAAACGTCTTACACAAAATCACTTATCGAATGACCACAGAAGACAAGACCTAAGGCATTAGCTTTGTATTCTTTCCATGATTTGAAGCCACTGAAAGTTCTAGAAGCATCTGTTCTCCAGTCACATTTCTCCACACAATATGAATTGCTATTATAAACCAAAATTAATCTTCTTTAAATGACCAAAAAGAAGAAGAAGGAAAAAAAAAAAAAAGACCAGAGTCTGAATTGCACTGTCAGTTAAACAGAGATGCAGACTGTTTTCTGCGTAGCTGGGGCCAGAGATGTGTGATTTGGAGGAGGAGCTGGATTCCAGTCCACATCAGTTTTGTTGTACTTCTCAGTATGATTTCACCATGCACTGTACTGAAGAATTAAACCCTTCAACCTAGACAGTCTTCTCAACACAAACCGGGCTTCTGGTTGCACATGATTTTATCCTTGACGCACACATCCCACCTCCAACCCCACACTCCCACCTCCCGACTCCACCCAGTTCTTCCCTGGACTTTAGTCAATGAAAGCACTGGAGGAGACATTTCAAGTCTCTCTCTAGGAAAGCACCTTTGTGTGTGTGTGGGGGGGGGGGGGGGGGAATACTAGTTTCTTTGTCCAAGCCCATTATCCTTCATCCTTTATTTAGAAGTCACACGGGGGGGGGGGGGGGGGGGGGGGGGGGGGGAAGGTGTTGATGTCAGTGATGTCAGGATGAGCATTTCCTGCTTAAAATTGCTTTCAACTGCTCCCTGCCCGCCCCTGCTATAGGCTGCAGCTGATTCCAACTGCTGCTATTCAGTGCTTGGTTGTTGTTTGTTAAAGTTTTAGAAGTTGTTAGTTTTTCTTCTGTTGTAAGCTCCTAGTTGCTCAGGCCACAGGTGAAATATTTGTCTTTGCAGATTACAGAACGTTCAGCCCAGGGTGTGCCTCCATGAACACTGGCCTCCCCTTGCCGGTGATGCTCATGTGGAGACAGTTCCATTGCTTGGGACAGGTTCTGTGAGACTTGCTGTGTTCATCCACCAGCAGAATATTTTGCAGATGAAATCATAAATAATCATATTAAAGGGCAGGGTCGCACTCTATCATAGACATGTAAGGCCAGTGAACAGAAGAAACGGGTCTGAATCATCTATCTCGGGTTTAACTGAGTGAACTGATTTAAACCAGGGGTCTTCACTGGTCCCTAGCTGTGCCTGCCACAAGACTTTGGAAATGGAACAGAGGAGTAAATGTGGTGTTTAGAGGGTTGAAAAGCTCATCCACAGAAGACTGTGATATCCGCTCCTGCTGCTTTTGCAAAACTTTTCCCCGGTGAGAATAGGACCTAGAGTATTGCCATACTAGGCAGGCACTGTATCATTAAGTGCCAGCCTGGTAGTTATTTTTTTAAAGTTATATAGGGAAGGAATGAGTCCTAGTGAAATAACCACTCAGTTCTTGGTCTTACGTTTTCCACGATTTTAGTGGGTTTGTGTATAACAATCTACGGTTAAACTGTAAATATTTTACTTGAGTTTTTGGTCCCTTACAAGGATTCCTGCTATTAAAGTAATTCACTGGGTTAATTTTTTTTTTTTTTGATAATGTCTGTGTCAAAATCTGATGTGGTGACAACATTGATACTGGTTGCTAAGATCCTGAGGAAGTCTGTGCAAGGTGACATAGGTATATGACCTATGACACTGGTGCTCAGAATTTCAACTTCACTATGAAAAACAAAGACCAAAGTCACTCCAGGGACTATTATCTGGGTCACAGCTCCAAGTGGGTTTAGGAATGTGATGTTCCCTGTTCATCTCTCCGTTCACCTTTTGGTGGTTGCATTTCAGTGAAATCTCAAATATGCCAGCAGGAAGTGGAGCCACTGACTCACAGGATGCAATTCGCCTCTTCCCCGTGAGTCAGGGCCCAACCTACACCCTTAAGCAATGATGGGGACCGTGCGTGTGCGTGGGAGAGTCTGAGTAGGATCACCTCACTGGAATGGGGATAACCCTGACTGCCGTGGGCCCTGGAGTGCCGGGACCTGCTGCCCAACAGTCAAGCAGAATACCAGACATAGGAAGTGTCCTCACTGCCTACAGTTTCTTCTGACCTGTTTCCTAGTAATGACACTGGGGGAGCGGGGATGCAGGGGTACGGGGGCGGGGGTTCATCTAGAAGACCAATAGAGAAGAAGCCGGGATTCCGTGACTAGAAGAGAAAACCACGTCAGCAAAACATTCCCAAGCCTCGGGCAGAAAAATAGCTTCTTTAGAAAACAATCAAGCAAATAAAAATAAAGGATGTTAATGAATGGGAGGTGTTCACCTTCTTTTCCCAATGAAATCTTTCAGGATATTTAGACCAGAACAGCAAACTCACTATGAATCATGGTATTTTGCCTGGCCCAAACAGGTAGACGAATCCGCTATGAATCCCTTTCCCATGGTCACACTAGCTTGGTGACTATAGGCAAAGTCATTTAAACGCACTTTAATATTGTTTTAAAAGACAATTTCTCTCTATGTAGCTCAGGCTGGCCTCAAGCTTTCAAACCCCCATCCCAGTCTATGGAGTCCTGGGAATACAGACATGGTCTACTGTATCTAGTCATGAATGGGCCCTTTAAAAAGTCTTGAAGGTAATTCATTTTCACCCAGAGAATCTACATAAGTACATATTGGAAGATTCTCAAGACTCCTCCTTTATAAAGATGTAGTTCGTGAATATACGGACTAGGTTCATATTGGAGTTGACCGATTGCATCTTGCTCCCTTAGAAGACGTGAAGGAAGTGAATGTGCATTTCTTTTTGTTTTAGTTTCACGGTTTGATAATGTCTTGCTTTTTCTTGGTTAAAATAGCACAAATCTGTCAAATCAGGTCATGAAAATATCTTTCTGTGCTTCCAAGTAACAATCTGTATTTCAGACAATACGTTTGTGTATGTATGTATGTATGTATATATATATATACACATACATACATACATATGTATATGTGTGTATGTACCTATGTGTATATATGTATATACACACATATATATGCTAATCTTGTTTTATACAATCACTCTATTCCTATAATTTTTAATTATTAACCTTATATTGAAGCATCATTTAAAGCTAAATGTAAGGAAAAAACCTATATTTGAGATAAAACAGCACAAGAGATTGATACAATGCAATGCAGATATCCAAATATTTCCTTTATTTTTGAGTTTTAAAAGATCCAAGAAATTTTTCTTGGCGAGTGGCAAGGAAAGATTTAATATGCCATTTTCCAACTGTATGCATTAATTTTTATTCCATAATTTCAGTAGGAACTTCTAAACCATACTTTAAAGTGCTTATGTATTTGAGTTATCAAATGATACAATAAAGTGATTCAAGCTAAGAATGAGTTTAATTGTAAAGGAAAAATGTGTTTTACATGGTACATGGTGGATATCTCATTCATAATAGAAGTGTTTCCATTAGGAAAGAAAATGAGAGAACTGTTGGATAAGGGGTAGAACATTAATCTTGGTGTTTGGGAATTTTATGTCTTAGAATTCTAAAGATGAGACATGGTTTTTCTATGAGCTGGAAATGAATCTGTAGAGTGTTATTTGAATTCTATTGGAATTTTTTTCCTTGAGATAATCTAAC